GGAGCTACGCTGGATCACCTACCTGCTTACTGGCTTGGGAGAGCAGCCTCGTTCGCCTCCAGTTCTGTACGTAGACAACAAGGCCATGATTGCCTTGTGTCAGGAGCACAGACTGGAGCAGAGAACGAAGCACATCGCTCTGCGATACTTCCTTGCTCGAGAGTTGCAGCAGCGTGGCCAGCTTCATCTTGCGTACTTGGCCACTCGGGCCAACACTGCTGATGTCTTCACCAAGGCACTTCCGCCTGGTGATCATCAGCGCTTCTCTACTGTGTTAGGCCTTGTGCCTACTTTGCCTTACTTGCATACTGCGTGACTTAACTTGTACTGTGATTTATTTATATACCTGCATGCTTGCACTTGCTAGGGTATGATCACTGTCTTGATTGCTCTCTTTTATATAACTCTGCATGTGAACTGGCCTTGTGGCCCTTTGCTTGTGCTCGGACTATGTGGTGACTTAGTGATCCACCCTGAGCTTGCTTTGATTTTCTTGACTGGTCTTGTGACCACTTGTTCTCCCCCACTTTGCCTATGGGGGTGTGTAGAACTTATATATAGCTTACATTGTGTAGGCTGTAGTGGGTTAGCCCATAAGGGGTACAGCCCAATTAGGGTTAGTACTTGTACCCAACCCTTTGCTAGTTCATTCATTCTCGTTCGTGATTCTGACAGTGCGGCGACCACAACATCTGCACATCCGAACAAGGCGTACGGACAGATTAGCATCAGACATAAAAAACAACATCACATACAAATGACATTGTCACTGCACAAGCTGCTTGGCTTACCGGAGGGGAAATTCCCCTTAGGAATTGTCTTGCGCTTAAAGAAGACCCAAGGCTTGAGCTTCTCGCCGCTGGCGGTTCAAGCGAGCATCACCGTCACGCGTTCTTTTTTATAGCCGCTGCTGCGGATGGGCACGGAGCGGATCCCCACCTCCTCGACCGTGCGTTCAGCTGGCATCTCGAGCCAGGGTGGTGTTTGATCGGCATTAATAATCCGGCGGTTGTCGATGCCGTACTGTCGGCGGGAGTGTTGCACGTACTTCCAGAAGTTCTGCACCTGTGTCTCACACTCTGCAAGGGAAGGGTGGGAGAGACAAACAAAAGAAGAAAATTAGAATTTCGAAGGTCGTAAGCAGCCATAAACGAGAGCGACGGCACAAACACCGACTCACCAGACGACAGCTTCTGGCCGATTCTGGTCTTCGCTTGGGTAGTGAGGTTCCAGTGCCGTCGAAAACGCTCCGTCCACCTCTGAGATCCAGCCCACCTTACATCAGGATGCAGGATCTTCATCACCTCATGTGACCACTTCTGCAGTCGGCTGACAGACACGGCGAGACACTTTTTCTGGTGGGCAAGAACACGTGAGTACACCTCGATCTCCATGTCGCGGTACCACGACGCCCGACCACGCCCGTGAAGGCGCTAGCGAGCCCCATGCGCGCCTTCCAGCTCACCCTTCCGCGACTTCCACTCTGACAGGGACTTTCGGGAGATACCAGTGTCGGAGGACATTCTCCGTACACTCACAGCTCCGGACTCCAACTTTGCAATCCACTGCAGCTTCTCCTGGGAAGTGTAGGAGTTGCACTTATGCGTTGAAGGCTTGCTCCTGGGGGACGGGGGGCGGGCATCACGATTTTGTTTGGAGGGGTGGGGCCGTTTCTTATTCGGCGGGGGGAAACTAGGGACAGGCAGGTCCTCGGGAAGACCATCGGCCGCCCACCACTCAACATCGTCTTCAGCACCAGTGGCGGATTCATCGTACGGGCAATCTTCCGCGTCTCCCCAGCGTGGCGACAGACCGGGGCCGGGTTCATCATCGCCGCTGCGCTCGGGCTCGGAGATGTACGCATCGAAAGCTGAGTAACCGCGAGGGAGGAGCTGCAGAACGGGCTGACCGTTGATGACGACGATAGGCGGAGCGGGAGGAGCATGAGGCGCTGGAGGAGCATGAGGCGCAGGAGGAGCAGGAGGAGCAGGAGGCGCTGGAGGAGCAGGAGGAGCTGGGCGACTCTGCCACTAAGAGTAATCGCGAGTGTTGCCAACAGCAGGTCCGCGGCTAAAGAGGAAGTGAGTGCCTGGAAGGCCCGCCATGGCCTAGGCAGGCTGAGGGAAAACAAGAAAACTGAAAAAAACGATGAGAATGAGCCTCGTTTGAAACCCTCGCCCGAGACCCCTCCAACTTCGTGGCCCGGGTTCCTCTGCAGGGAAAGGGGGGAAACTGGCAAGATCCCCCCGCAGAGGAGCTGAGGTGGTGAGGTCAATGCCTCGGTGGAGTGGAATCTTGCCGCTTCTGCCAATTGCGTGGTTGTACAGAGTCGTGCCTGGCACGGCATGCGACCCTGATTGGGCAGTCGCACCCTAAACTACGTGTGCGCTGGCATGGGCCAGATTCATGTTCGATGAATCTGGCCAGGCCAGCAAGGCGTCGTGGGCGTGATGTCAGAATCCCAGTCACTAGACCACTGGGATAAAAGGGCTTGTTAAGTAGCGGGTCAGAGTGCGCCCATAACCCCCCAGGTGAACACGCCTGTAACCCCCCTAGGATCAATCGGGCATCCACAGTGCAGATCTTCTGACACCCCCAGACACTGGGAGACCCAGGACTGAGCACAGCGGCAACGGCCTACATGTGCATACGCCAGCATTCGAACCCGAGACCACTCTGACAGCGTGTCTCAGAATCCCAGTCACTAGACCATTGGGATAGAAGGGCTTGTTAAGTAGCGGGTCAATGCACCCATAACCCCCCAGGACAACGAGCCTGTAACCCTTCCTTAGGATCAATCGGGGATCACTAGTAGACCTCTGACACCCCCCCGCACTGGGATGCCCGAAGTGCACACACTGGGATTCCAACCCGAGACCTTTCGCTCTGATACCATGTCAGAATCCCAGTCACTAGACCACTGGGATAAAAGGGCTTGTTAAGTAGCGGGTCAGAGTGCGCCCATAATCCCCCAGGCGAACGCGCCTATAACCCCCCTATGATCAATCGGGCATCCACGGTGCAGATCTACTAACACGTGATTCCATGCCTTGTTGGCCATTTGACGCGCTTTTCATGCACGGTTACGAACGTTCTAGATGTGGATTGAATCCCCGTTTGAAAAAGCTTCAATTTCATGTTAAAACAATACATTTCATTTTTTCCATTTTATAAACGTCGGCGCTTATAAATTTCCTCGATTATAAGCGCACCCCCCTAAAAAACAGTGTTTTTTTTACCCCCAGGGGCGCTACCAGGGCCTCAGAAGTCAGGATTTTTACCCTGAATTCCTGAAGTTTGACCCTCTTTTTTATCGTGACCCTGATGTATCAGCCTTTTTTTTTTTTTTAACGACCCTGATGTTTCAATGTTTTTTTATGTGTAACTCTGTTTTTTCGGTGTTTTGTGTTTGAGGACACTGACGAGTCAGTGTTGCATCGAGTTCGACCCTGAAACTAGAAACGGCGCAATCTGATTGGCCCAAGTGTTGTAGGGAGTTCATCCTGTGATTTGCGCCATGACCTGCTACTTCGGCTGTCAAGCTACTACAGTACCGCCAGCTGTTTTGCTGCACATGGCATCCTTCGTGCCAGGTGGTAAACTTCTCAAGTTCTGATTGGTTGCCACTAATAACCTGTACCCTCTTGACTCTTTTGGCCTTGCAGCACACAAAGCCAGAGGTACGTGTTTCCCTCCAATGCTGGCATCGTGGTGCTGGTGTGGTGTGCTGAGCAAACCATACTAGATGCTATCATAATTCCCCATACTAGCAAAGAAAATCAGTGTTTATGTTATTTAGAACACTGATTGATCAGTGTAATTCTTTTGTGAACACTGAAAAATCCGTGTTTTTTAGATGATGACACTGAAAATCAGTGTTAGTCCTCAAGGAACACTGAGTGATCAGGGTGCCCCAAAACCAATCTGAGGCCCTGGGCGCTACTATCCGGGGGCTGACGGTAAGCGCATGCGATTTTAATAGGCATGCGCTTATATCCGGGGCCATACGGTATGTAGTACCGTATCACCCCGGATAGTAGCGCATATGCGCTTATAATAAAATTGATTTTTTCAAGGGGGGCGCTTATAATTGAGTTTCGGGCATAAGCGCATTCGCTTATATAATGACAAATACAAATTTATACTTTTAGGGTACAAAACTGTACCTTTCATTGATGCCATTTCAAACGAGTCGAAATAATATAGCGTCACAAAGCAGAATCGCGCGCAAGCGATTCTGTTTCCTCCACACCAGCAAGTTCACCTCACTTTGCAGGCATGCCAGCACATCCTGATTGGACGCACAGCCAGTCAGGTCTTCGCGAGTCAAACGAAGCGAAGGTGAAATTTGGCCCGCTGCGAAAATGAAACTCGTTACCGTTTAAAACATATTTATAATTTCAAAATGTACGTGCGCTTATAATAAGTAAAGGTTTTCCATGGGGAGTTTCGGCCATAAGCGCCATGCTCCAGATAGAAGCGCCAGCGCCTTTAATCGGACGGCGCCTATATCCGGGGCCATACGGTATCTTTGATCACAATATTTTTGTTCTTTCATGATGTTACAGAGATTCTGACTTCAGAAATGGTACTTGTTTTGCAAATTCTATACCTTTTTAAAACATGCCATGGGGAGCAGGAGAGTTCAGTCATCGTGACCTGTGACCTGGGTTTTTGCAAGCTATTTGACATGTGGCAAGCAAATTACACAAAAAAGGGGGAAAGAAAACTGAAACAACAACGTAAACAGATCTATGCGCACCCACAAGGTGTTAGTGCTGGCTGAACAACAGTGATCTTGTAACAGACGTTTGTCTGGAGACCCCTTGACACGACGGGCACATCTTCACTGCTGTCAATTAGAGTGGTAAATACACATCTTCATCCATATCACACTCTTGTTGGAGTACTCGGATGCGAGATGCCTCACTAGTGAGAGTGAGGTGAGGAGCTAGAGGAAAATCCAGGAGTTGGATGCGGTGAAGAGTGACAGGCAGGGCTCAAGCATTACAGGTGCTGCTTGGGGAGGGAGAAAGGCGAGAGGGGAGGGGCATGGGGAGAAAGCAGAGGGGGTGGGGAGGGAGGACGTGAGGAGAACCGAAGGAACAGAGTTCATGCGAGGGGAATGTGGGTGGGGGCATGGGGGCGAGTGTGTGGACAGCAAGCAAACTGCCACACGAGGGTAGACTTGCATGGGGGCGAGTGTGCGGAACCAAGTATTTCAGATACACCTGTTCCTCACAGCACCACCACTCTCTCATCCTCACACAGCCTACTCCCGGTGTGTCTGGCGTCGACTCAAAACCCACTGGCTTGCTCCCATCACAATGCCACCACTCTCTCACCCTCACACAGCCTGCTCCCGGTGTGTTTTGAGTCGACTCGGAAACCCACTCGGCATGCTTCCGTCACCACTCTTTCTCACCCTCACACACCCCTCTCTCTCACCTAGCTGGGCAACCGGTCACCAGCTTCCATCCACTCGTGGGTACCACTATGCCAGTCGGCATGCTACCGTCGCAAATCGACAACACCGCCGCCCACGACAACCCCCAGCCCGCCTCCATGTAGAGCGAGCTGCCGTCCGTGAACTTGGCGGTGTTGCCCTGGAAGGTCGACGAGCAGAAGCGCACCGCAGCCGCGGAGTTGAGTCCCGACGCCGCGGCGTAGGCCGCACCACCTTCGCCAGCGATGACACCGTTGGCAGTGGCGGTGCCGAGAGCCTTGTTGTAGTTCAGTTTGACTTTGATGAATGTGAGGAAGGCGTCTTTAGCGTAGATGGCTCCCCCAGAAACACCTGGATGGAGGGAGGGTAGGGGACGCCGGAGAGAGGGAGTGCTGTTCGAGAAGAGGCCTTCCCCAGAAACGGCCTCCCTCCGATGCGTCTGGATGGACCTCAGAAGGTCATCACAGCACAGAAACATGCACACACACACACACACACATACACGCACGCACGCACGCACGCTCGCGCGCACTCACCAGCGCTGTTCCCCTCAAAGAGGCAATCCTCAAAGCGCAGCCTGGCCGTCCCCGCCACCCTGACCGCCCCGCCCAGGTGTTTGGGCGCGCTGTTGTCCTTGAAGATGCAGCGCAGGAAGGAGAGAGCCGGCACGCTGGAAGTGCGGCCGTTGGCGTTGAAGGTGGTGGCGTCTATGTTGACGGCGCCCCCCCCCAGGGTGGGCGAGGAGTTGTTCAAGAAAATGCACTCCGTGAAGACACGCTCGGGAGGCTCGAACATTCTAGGGAGGTTGTCTCTGGTGGGAGGGAGGGAGGGAGGGAGGGAGGGAGGGAGGGAGGGAGGGAGGGAGGGAGGGAGGGAGGCAATGGATTGAGTGTTTGGGAAGGGAGAGCCCAGCAATCAATGATGCTCTGGAAGGTGCAGCGCGAGAGGAGACGGTAAAGTGTGGTGGCTGTCGTAGGGAAGGAGCTTGCACCACACGCACTCTCACTTGCACCACACGCACTCTCACTTGCACCACACGCACTCTCACTTGCACCACACGCACTCTCACTTGCACCACACGCACTCTCACTTGCACCACACGCACTCTCACTTGCACCACACGCACTCTCACTTGCACCACACGCACTCTCACTTGCACCACACGCACTCTCACTTGCACCACACGCACTCTCACTTGCACAACATGCACTCTCACTTGCACCACACGCACTCTCACTTGCACCACACGCACTCTCACTTGCACCACACGCACTCTCACTTGCACCACACGCACTCTCACTTGCACCACACGCACTCTCACTTGCACCACACGCACTCTCACTTGCACCACACGCACTCTCACTTGCACCACACGCACTCTCACTTGCACCACACGCACTCTCACTTGCACCACACGCACTCTCACTTGCACCACACGCACTCTCACTTGCACCACACGCACTCTCACTTGCACCACACGCACTCTCACTTGCACCACACGCACTCTCACTTGCACCACACGCACTCTCACTTGCACCACACGCACTCTCACTTGCACCACACGCACTCTCACTTGCACCACACGCACTCTCACTTGCACCACACGCACTCTCACTTGCACCACACGCACTCTCACTTGCACCACTCTCACTTGCACCACTCTCACTTGCACCACTCTCACTTGCACCACTCTCACTTGCACCACTCTCACTTGCACCACTCTCACTTGCACCACTCTCACTTGCACCACTCTCACTTGCACCACTCTCACTTGCACCACTCTCACTTGCACCACTCTCACTTGCACCACTCTCACTTGCACCACTCTCACTTGCACCACACACACCCCTTCCAACTGCACTTCGCACACACATTCTCAACTGCACCTTGCCTTGCACACTCACTCGCTCGAGCACCCCTCTCACTCTCTCATCTCCCCCCCAGCTCTCCACTGCCCTCACCTGAGCACCGCTCCGCCAGCATCAGCAGCAGCCACGTTGTGGGCGAAATTGCATTGACTCGCGTTGACTGACGTCAGCAAGTTGTAAAAGACGCCTCCCAGCGCGTACTGGAAGGTGAGGTTGACCAGAGTCAACTGCCCCGCCGTGGATCGTGACGCGGAGGAATATAATATGGGGGAGGCGCCGGTGAATATGGGGAAGGCGCCACCCCCCCTGATGATGCACTTGACGATGCTGGGGACCGGGGAGGGAAGAGGCGCGCAAAGATACAAGCGGAAAGGAAGGAACGAAGGCGGTTAAAGAGGGAATGGGAGAGATGGGCGGAGACGACGAGGGGGAGAAAGGAGATGGACGGACACGATGGCGATGGGCGATGGCGATGGCGATGGCGATGGCGATGGTGCTCCGATGGTCCTATCCAGTTTGGTCCTGCCACTCCCTTTCCTGACCCACTAATCCTACCATTCCCATGTGACCCTACTTCGAACTGGTAACCCTACCACCCACCTGGAAACCCTGTTACCTACCCGTCGGATCCACACGCGCCCCTGATGGTCAGCTTGGCCGCGCCTAAGAGTTCGGGGAGGCGGCTGTAGGGGGGAGAGAAGAAGGGGTAAGGGGAAGAGCGAGTGGGAAGGGGAGTAGGAAAAGAGCAATCTGATTAGTTGACTCAATGATGTGATAATGCGCATGGTAGCATAGGGGCTGCCTGATGGGATGGGTTTAGGGATTGACAGAAATTCGTGACGGAGGCGGGATGTATGCAAAACCGATTAGCCGTTCCTGGGATGAGGTGACAAGCGCACACGTGGCGAGGCGTAACATGTGCAGACGTGGATAGATGGGGAACTTACGTCGTCAGCACCACGTTGGATGTGAGAACGAGCTCTGTGGTCTTCGCGTCTGCTCCCATCTGTGTCGCCATCTAGACACGCACAATCACGCACACACGTGACGGAAAACGTTCATCCGGCACTGCAAGTGTCAAATTTCAGCCGTCTGCGTCTCAAATTTCCTCTAAGTCCAACTTCCAGCTGTCGCAATCCCTCGACTGTCGTACAAAAAAGTGTGCGTAAAAAAAGAGCTGTTTTTTTCGAACAAATTCAATGTGTTTCCACGTTGGAAACAAAGACGTCCGCAGAAGTAGATGAGAACGCGCTGACGAGCTTCGTGCTTCGGAACGCTGCTGATGACGTTTTTTATTTCGGAATGGCATTTCCCACGCCGCGCTATACTAACGGTGTGAAAGTATCCAGTGGATGGTGGCATGATGTGAAACTACTATACTATCGATGTGGAAATGCGTATGTTACTATCGGATCATCCCTACCTGGTTCGCCTTGTTGATTGCATTGTCCAGTACTGACGCCGCGGTATGCGCGGGACCGCAGATGATCCCAATGACTAGCGATGCGACGAGGAGGGAAGAGATGTGCTGGCGTGCTGTGATAGGTTTCCTGTCACGAGCCATCCTGAGACAGACGACGGTGGTAGCCGAATAGTGTGGAGTGAAAATCAGACAAGCGGCTCTCGTGAGCGGCAATGCGTCGCACTTCGATAATGCTCACTGGAAGGAACCATCGCTGGTTTTTACGCGAGCCTCTTACTCGGAGTGAGAACCAACGAGGTGACGATGTGGGAGATCTTAGTATCTGCGGGTCCAGGGTGCAAGACACTCGCGCGCAGGCAGCCCAGAGACCTGGGGCTGTGATTTCATACTTTCTAGTTTTCTTTTTTTGCAGGCGGCACGTGCGGCAGCGATTGGGTTCACTCTACCGCATCGCAGGGCTTGCAGTCATGCCGGCCTTGCCTCATGGCGCGAATGGTGGCCATGGGGTGTTGAGAAGCACGCGTGGGAGCCGGGCTCAGTCTGACCTGAGCCCTAAATTTTCCTGAAATACATCTCGACGGATTACATGCCGCAATCCGTCGTGTTTGGCCCTGGTGATGATAGTAGTATCATCATCGCTCCCCACACTAACTGACGACGGATCCAGCGAGGGAGACAGCTGCGCCCGTCACGCAAGCCAACTCCCCATCGACTCGTCACACCTGAACTGAACGCATTTCGATTCCAAATATACTGATGCCCTGCTCCGTATACGTTCCAGATTCTGCATCGTGATTCGTCGCGAGAGTATCGGCGGCCCCGAAGAGAACTATCTGAGCAGAGAACTATCTGAGCGGAACAGGACACGTGAAAGAAATTGAATGGAAAGTTCGTATGTCGTGTTTCACCATCTCCCAGACCGACGCTTCCCCACGAAACCGCCCAATTGTTTCACATTTCTGCATTTCTGCAATGGAAACGAGATAGCGAGGATTGCACACTAGGTGGTCAAAAGATACGAAGTATGAGCGAAGGCATGAGCAAATACTTATGTGCGAAAACATGCAACGGTTACGCGGTGTGTGCGAGTTAGTGCGTGCTAGGCTGGCATCGAGGTTTGGGCTAGTCCCGAAGCGTAGGCCGACTCGGCCAGGCCAGCGGTGCATGGTTTGGTAAAACAGTGCGCGCGAAGTTGGCGAAGCCCCGTTAGCAGTAACGGGCGAACAACGGCTGCTGCTGTACGCGATGTTGACGGCCGCGGTAAGGAATGTCGAGAAAATTCCTTACACTACCCCCCCCTCCCCCCCCCCCCCCTCCCCCCTCCCCTCAAGAAGCCCCCTCCGCTACGCGAGTGTGTATATATCGCGGAAACCCCGGCTCCTCATGTACACTTGCAGGGTGTTGGGTTGAGAAATAGCCCTTAGGATCTTTCAAGGCTAAGATCTCTTGTAGCAGTAGGAATGTTGTAGTTGCGGAAGCGTAATAATAGGAATGCTTGAACCACCCTGCGCTAGTATGTGAGCAAGATGAGTTGATGATAGCAAAGACATACAAAGCTTTTATATGATTACAAAGGAATATGAAAAGTTCTACTTGAACTGTTTTCTGCTGTTGCGGTTCGATACAGTGACGACTCGGGTAACTGCTCAATATCGAGTCAGTTATGTGTCCTTGCTGTCGTACTGTATTTTTCGTCGAGTCAAAGGTCAGCGACCTTTGACCTTCGCGTAACCTCCAGCTGTTACGATTGTTGACTCGCGTGTTGTTTCGCTGTAGTCTGCTCCATTCTCGTGTCGATACTTCGATTACTTCAGAAGCGTTAGATTACTTGTTTCCAATTCCAACACTCCCCTTCGCTTCTGGAGTGTCGCTGCTGATGACGTGTCCTTGTCCAGTCAGCAGCATGCAGTACTCGAACTTCTGTTTTCCGAGTTTCTTGGTCAAGTAGTCGGCTGCCATCTCGGATGTGGGACAGTAGGATAGTTTGAGTCTTCCCTTCTCGATTTCGTCTTTTACGAAGAAGTACTGGAGGGCAATGTGCTTCGTTCGTTTCGCGAACCCATTTTTGTTCGCTATGCGAATGGCCGATTGGTTGTCGCAGAAGAGGGAGAAGCTGGGTAACTGAGCCAATTTTGCTTCCTCCAGCAATTCGCGAAGATATAACCCTTCCTTGGTGGCTGAGCAGAGTGCGATATATTCTTCTTCTGCTGAGGAGAGAGCGATAAGCTCTTGTTTGTTCGACTGCCATGAGATAGGGCCGATAGGTTCGAGTCGGTAGATGTAGCCAGTACGAGATCGCCTGTTCTCAGAATCTCCAGCGTGATCGGCGACGACGTAGCCGATTAACTTAGGTGTCGTAGTTCCGGTCTTGTGGTAGGTTAATCCGATCGTCGGGGTACTGACGAGGTAGTGAAGTGTACGGTCGAGTTCCAGCATGTGTTCTGCTTCAGGCTGCTTGAGGTAGGTGGCGAGTTGACTAGCTGAGTAGGATAGATCCGGTCGGCAGGTACTGAAGCGTACGGTGTGTTCTGCTTCAGGCTTCTACGAGAACATGTCGCTAGAGGTGTGGAAGTCAGAGCACGGGCCGGCGTGGGGCTGGACGCCGACCATCCCGCCGACGGACACCTCGACGGCGACACTCCCTCTGCTTGCCGAGGTCGGTGAGCCTGCTGCTGAGGACGTCGAGGATGTCCCCTCTCCCTTCCCCTCCCCTGCCCCCCGTGCCCCTCCCCTTGTGGCCGACCTGCGTGGGCTGACTCCGGTGTCGGCCTCCGGCGATGAGGGGAGAAGTGGGGCGTCGCCTGTGGCGCTGGCCAAGAGCATCGCCGGTGGCCGACGTGACGTCCAGCAAGTCGACGTGAGAGTGAAGTCGACGCCGCCAGGGAGGAGCAGGCCGAGGAAGTGCAGCCGATGGTGGTGAAGTCGGCAAAGGGGGCAGTCACAAGGCAGCAGCTGAGAGGGGAGCAGGCAACAGCCAAGCCGAATAAGAAGCAGTCCGCAACAAGGCAGTCAGCAGAGGAGCCGACCACAGGGGAGAAGTCGACAGGGAAGCCGACTGAGGTGCAGCAGGACGATGAGGGCAGTGAAGCTGGTGACGATGGAGGGGACGCCGAGGATTCCACCGATAGTGACGTGGTGGAGGTCCAGCATGGACCACGGCAGTCAGGCTGAATTCGGAGGCCGCCCGACTTCTACGTACCGGCTGCCTTCACCACGGCGTACGACGAGGTCGATGACGACCTGCAGTACGACGACGCCAAGGAGGACGAAGACTTTCCAGAGCTCGACCCCGACATGCACGCTGACCCCGAGCACCGTTGGGACATCTCGACGATGACGGTGAAGGAGGCGTTGGCGAGCTGGAAGGGCAAGGCGGTGAAGGCCGCCATGGAGGAGGAGATCCGCAGCCTCGTCGGCATGGGGACATGGGAGCTGGTCGAACGCCCGCCAGGAGTGAACATCATGAAGAACCGATGGGTGCTGACGACGAAATACCGGTGGGTGCTGCCGACGAAGAGCCAGGACCTCCAGCTCCTGCAGGAACTCCAGCACCTCCAAGACTAGTAGCTCCAGCACCTCCAGCTCCAGTGCCTCCAGCGGCAAAGTCTCCAGCTCCGGCAGCTCCACTCCGAAGGCGTGTGCACCGAGCAAACCACTCACGCAGCTGCTCCGGGGAGAGAGGCTCCGGCCGGGGAGACAGTCGTGGCGAGGCACTCGCAAGACCTCCAGCAGAAGGAGTACCCCCAGGCTCAGCACCCCCAAAGTCCGCACCCTCAGACTAAGCACCCCCAGGCTCCACACCCTCAGGCTCAGCACCCCCAGGCTCCGCACCCCCAGGCTCAGCACCCCCAGACCCCGCACCCTCAAACTCAGCACCTCCAGGCTCTGCACATGCAGGCTCAGCACCCCCCGATGCAGCACCCCCAGGCACAACACCTCTAGCAGCACATGAGTCTACAGCTACCTCAACAGGCATAGCACCAAGGAGTGGGTCTACCTGAGACACACCTGAGGGAGCAGTACCCTGAGGGGGGAGGGGTTCTACCAGAGGGGGACATGGAGCAAGGAAGAGCGGCGAGGTTGGGAGAGGGGCAGAGCGGTAGGGGAAGAGACGATAAAAGGCAACCGACTAGTCAAACGTGACGTCTTGAGAGGGCAGGACACGGCGCGAGGTGGGGTGGTAAAACTGCCAGCCAGGCGCGTCAGGGGGGAAGCCAAGGAAGACGCAGGGAATAGCGCGGGCGGAGAGCTTGTCCGTGGACGTATCGCAGACAAAGGCACGAGAACCCCAGACCCGGAACACCGACGCATCGCCAACCTTCCCCCTCCAACGCACACTCTCACCTTCCTGCGCTGTACCTTCAAGGTCAACAGCGCGCCTCGGCATGTGGGCGGGGCGGTCAGGGTGGCGGGGACGGCCAGGCTGCGGTTTGAGAATTGCCTCTTTGATGGGAACAGCGCTGGTGAGTGCATGTGTGTGTGTGTGTGTGTTTGTGTGTGTTTGAGTGTGTATGAGTGTGTGAGTGTGTATGAGTATGTGTGTGTCTGTGTGTGTGTGTGTGTCTGTGTGTGTGTCTGTGTGTGTGTGTCTGTGTGTGTCTGTTTGTGTCTGTTTGTCTATTTGTGTGTGTGTATGCGTGTGTGCGTGTGTGCGTGTGTGCGTGTGTGTGTGTGTGCGTGTGTGCGTGTGAGTGTGTGCGTGTGCGTGTGCATGTTCTTGTGTTGTGGTGACCTTCTGATGTCCATCCAGACGCATCGAAGGGAGGCCGTTTTTGGGGAAGGCATCTTCTCGAACAGCACTCCCTCTCTCCGGCGTCCCCTACCCTCCCTCCATCCACGTGTTTCTGGGGGAGCCATCTACGCTAAAGACGCCTTCCTCACGTTCGTCAAAGCCACCCTGAACTACAACAAGGCTCTCGGCACCGCCACTGTCAACACCATCACCACCGGCGAAGGCGGAGCAGCCTACGCCGCGGCCACGGGACGAAACTCCGAGGCTGCGGTGCGGTTCTGCTCGTTAACCTTCCAGGCCAACACCGCCAAGTTCACAGACGATAGCACGCTCTACATGGAGATGGGCTGGGGGTCGTCGTGGGCGGCGGTGCTGTCGATTTGCGACAGGAGCAAGCCGACTGGCACGGTGGTGCCCACGAGTGGATGGAAACTCGTGACCGGCTGCCCCGCCAGGTGAGGGAGAGGGGTGCATGAGTGGTGGTGCTACAATGGGAGCAAGCCGAGTGGGTTTTGAGTCGTAGCAATACACACGAGAAGCAGGCTGCATGAGATGAGGAAGAGTGGTGGTGCTGAGAGGGACACGTGTATCTGAAATACTTGTTTCCTGCAAGTGTACCCTCATGTGGCACTCTGCTTGCTTCCCGTACACTCTCCTTCCCCCATGTCCCCACCCACATTCCCCTCGCATGAACTCTGGTCCTTCTCGGTTCTCCTCACGTCCTCCCTCCCCACCCCCTCCACTTTCTCCCCATGCCCCTCCCCTTTTGCCTTTCTCCCCCCCCTCCCAAGCAGCACCTGTAATGCTTGAGCCCTGCCTTTCAGTCTTCATCGCATCCAACTCCTAGATTTTCCTCTGGCTTCTCACCTCACACACACAAGTGAGGCATCTTGCATCTGGGTACAAAAACAAGAGTGAGATATGGATGAAGGTGTGATTACCACTCTTCTTGACAGCAGTGAAGATGTGCCCGTCGTGTCAAGGGGTCTCCAGACAAACGTCTGTCACATGATTACTGTTGTTCAACCAGCACGAACACGTTATGGGTGTGCATACACCAGTTTGCGTTGTTGTTTCCGTTTTCTTTCCCCCTTTTGAGTAATTTGGTTGCGACATGTAAAATAGAGTACACCAACCCAGGTTGGGATGACAACTTCCTTGCTTCCCCATGGCATGGTAATGCATCATAAGTCCTACTGGTAGGAGATGGCAAGTTTGCACTACCTTGTTTGAATTTAATGCCAGAGGTGTACTAGGGTTCCCCGATTGATCCTAGGGAACGGTTACAGACACGTTGGCGTGGGGGTTATGGGCGTACTCACCCACTACACAAACAAGCCCTTTTATCCAAGTGGTTAGTGGCTGGGATTCTGACATGCTATCATAGCGAAAGTCTCGGATTCGAATCTCAGTGTGCACTTCGGTCATCCCAGTGCGGGGTGTGCCAGAGGTGCACTGGGCTTCCCTGATTGATCTTAGGGAAGGGTTACAGGCAGGGCCTATGATTCACTTTTAGGCACGTTAATGCATCAGGGCCCCACTGTGTAGAATCCCTGATCGTCAGTGTCCCCCCCCAAAAAAGCCTGAAAATTCAGTGTTACCTTCAAAAAATGTCTAATGCGTCAGTGTTCCCTTTTTGTAAAGTCTGATATTGAACTTAAAATAAGATAACACTAGGCAGGAACGCGATGAAACCCCAAGCGGATGGAAGGAAAGCATGGAGCAGAATGGGATGGGGGCCAAGATGGCAGGTAGCACGGCTGGGCAGCGCGGATGCATCAGTGCTTGCCAACACGACTTAGACAAAACGGGCCACGGGACCACAGGTGCAAGCAATGGGCCAGAAACCCTCGCATCGCAGCCTGCCAGCATCGCTTTGTTGCAACCTTGTCATTGGTCAACCCACATAATGCTGCAAAAGTGGCCAATGATCGGACCCAGCGCGCCAAAAAAGCAGCCCTCGAAGTGAATAACACGGGGCAAATTTGTCTGGTAGTCACCGCCAGGCGGTGCTGACACCGCGGGAATCTGAGATTCCCTGTACTTCCGGGCAACTATCGTACACTCGGAACGGAATCGCATTCAGTGTCAGTTTCGTTACAGCGTAGTATAATCAGTGTCCCTTAGAAAAAAAACCTGAAAGTTCAGAGTCATCTGGCCCCTAAAGGCTGAAAAATCAGTCCCCCAAAAAGCTGAACACTGGAAAATCAGGGTAGGTACAAAAAAACCCATGAAAATCAGGAATTTCAGGGAAAAAATCATGATATCGTAATGCCTGGTTACAGGCACGTTGGCCTGGGGGGTTATGGGCGCAGTCACCCGCTACACAAACAAGCCCTTTTTATCCCAGTGGTTGGTGGCTGAGATTCTGACATGCTATCAGAGCGAAGGTCTCGGATTCGAATCTTAGTGTGCACTTCGGGCATCCCAGTGCAGGGGGGTTCCAGAGGTGCACTGGGGTTCCCCGATTGATCCTAGGGAGGGGTTACAGGTACGTTGGCCTGGGGGGTTATGGGCGTACTCACCCGCTACACAAACAAGCCATTTTATCCCAGTGGTTAGTGGCTGGGATTCTGACATTTAAGCCCATCTAAGAATATACGTAAAAACATAATTGTTGGTCTTACGTTTTTTACTATAATATCTGGGAGCATAGGCATAAGTTGCAGCTATTTGTTGGATTGAATACTACAATTTTATATGGATATTATGTAGAGGTATACACTTCTTAGAACAAACAGCATGAAACAACAAACATTGATTGTTATTTTACTGGCTTTTCTAATCAGCAAATTCAAGCCAGCCATGATATTCGGAGCGTGCTGCACGCTTCGCCAAAAGCTGCGACTTGCAAAGCGAGGGGAGGTTTTTATTCAGGTTGCGTCACACATTCAGTTACTGTACTGTATTTCAAAGTGTCAATCCATTGGTTGGCTAGGCTGCCCGTCTAAACCCCGTTCCACCCAGACGCCAGCATGTGTCGGAAAAGAGTTGGCCATTCGAAATCCCATCCACGTCCGATATTTGTTGACGGACCCTGCGGCGGGCTGATGTCACCTGTCCAGCGTTTCCCTCTCCACCCCACCCCACCCCTCACCACCCACTCCCATTTCTTATTTGCCGCCATTCGTGCTGGGGCGCCTGGTAGGCATGACTAAACCCTGCGGTGCGGAAGGATTGACACAATCAGCGCGAAAGCGCGCATACCTGTCAAATTTGAGCACCTGTTCACCTTTGGTATGAATTTACAGCAATGCATTGTGAGTTTCTTACAGCCTCGGTGAACAGCATCCTGCATGTCAATGACCAAGAACCAAGGTGGTTCTCAATCTCATGAATTTTATAAAGCAAGGATTGATCCTCCAAGAGCATTCTAATTCAGCGCGACGCCAAACATTTGCTGCATTCTACTCTAGCATTATTCATTCTCAGGATGGCTCGTGGCAGGGAACCAATCATAGCCGACCAGCACATCACTTCCCTCCTGGTCGCATCGATAGTCATTGGGATGATCTGCAGTCCCGCGTCTAGTATTGCGGCGTCGGAACTGGGAGATGCCATCAACAAGGCGAACCAGGTACGGATGGATAGATTAACGCCAAGAGCACCGAATCACTATCACGTTCATTCAATGCCTGCGCGGCATGAAAAACGACATTGGGAAGGCGAGATCGCCAAGAAACTCCGGCCGACTCATGATCTGTCATCTTTTGTTTAAGAAGAGCTCTGAACAGCTCCACTCCGACTGCCACCACTCCCACTGCCACCACTACTGCCACTCCGACCGCTGCCACCACTGCCACCACCAAAGCCCCCACTCCCGCCACCACTCCCACCGTTGCCACCACCTCCACTACCTCCACCACCTCCACTGCTGCCCCCACTAACACCCCCGCTGCCACCTCCACCACTCCTGCCACTCTTGCCCTTGCTGCTGCGGCGCTTTCCACTAGCAGAAGCAGCTTGACATCCTCAGCACCAAGGACGTCAGCAGCAGCAGTAGAGGCATAGGAGGGGGCAAGGGGGGAGGGGGAACACCCCTCAAAGAAGGGCGTGCGAGGAGTGCCACGAGCGGCACCTACAACGACTACACTAGTCTCAACTGCAAGGAGGTGCTGCTCGAGCAGGTCAACAGTGAGGTCTGTGGGGTCGAGTGCGAGAAAGTGGTCCCTGACTGCGTGAAGAGAGTCAGGGAGGCGGGTGACTAAGAAGTAGAGAGTGATGTACATCGGGGGGGAGTTCCTGTCAAGGAACTCGGCTGGGAGGGCAGCGCGGTAGCGAGCGTTGCTAGTGCGAAGGTGGGCAACGAGGTCCTCTACTGTGGCAAAGGCGAACAGCTCGGGAAACAGGTAGGGCAGTAAGAGACGGCCTAGAGCAGCAGTGGCAGGGGAGGAGTAACGGGCGACTACAGCGTCGTACAGTGCTTTAGCTGTCTTGTGCTGTGCGAAGTGAGCGCATTCGGCTAACGGCAGGTGGTTGCGAATGGCTAAGCGGGCAGCAGCATCACGGGTAAGCCACTGTGAGCGAGTCGCACTGTCAGTTGTGGCGGGAGGGGCGAGAGAGGCTCCAGACGTGTGGTCAAACAACGAAACGCTGTCGCTAGAGTCGCTCAGTAGGTACAGCTGTAAGTTGTCGAGCCACGTGTCGAATTGGATAGGACGGCCCTCATGATCAAACATGAGAACACAGAGAGAAGCCATAGCAGAGCAGCACACAGAGCAGGGCAGATGCAGGGCAGCGCAAGGAACGGGGCTGGCAGTAGCCAAGCAGTGGGCCGAAAGGGGCGGCTAGCGAGCTGCAAGTGGCGGGGCGCAGGCTGCAGGAGGGGCGGCTCGCGGGCTGCAGGGGCGGCGCGCGGGCGGCAGGGGCGGCGAGAGGGCCGCAGGCGAGCGGCGCGCGGGCTGCAGAGGCGGCAGACGGGTCGCAAGGGGGGGTTGCGCGCAGGCCGCAGGGGCGACAGGCGGGCTGCAAGTAGGCTGCGCGCGGGTGGCAGGGGCGGCAGCGGGCGGCGCGCGGGCTGCTGAGGTGGCTGGCGGGCCGCAAGCGGGCGGCGCAGAGGCGGCAGGCAGGCCGCAAGTAGGCTGCGCGCGGGCGGCAGGGGCGGCAGCGGGCCGCAAGCGGGCGGCGCGCGGGCTGCTGAGGTGGCAGGCGGGCTGCAAGCGGGCGGCGCAGAGGCGGCGAGCGGGCCGCAAGTTGGCGGCGCGCGAGCGGCAGGGGCGGCAGCGAGCCGCAAGTGGGCTGGCGGGCCGCAGGTGGGCGGCGCGCGGGCTGCAGAGACAGCGGGCGGGCCGCAAGCAGGCGGCGCGCGAGCTGCAGAGGCGGCGGGCGGGCCGTAAGCGGGCTGCGCGCGGGCTGCTGGGGTGGTGGGCGGGCCGCAAGAAGGCAGCGCGCGATCTGCAGGGGCGGGTCATGGGCTGCTAGGGGCAGCTCGACGGGCTCCTAGGGGCGGTGCCACTGCCAGCAGGGTGGCGAGTCAGTAGTAGGGGCACCAGGGCAGCTAGTGGGGCAGCTCTGTGGTGGGTCCTAAGAAAAAATGCGGTCCTAGCGAAGGACCTGCTCTGAAACCATCTCAGAAGAATGAACGAGAATGAATGAACTAGCAAAGAGTTGGGTACAAGTACTAACCCTAATTGGGTTGTACCCCTTATGGGCTACCCCACTACAGCCTACACAATGTAAGCTAGATATGAGTTTGACAGTCGATAGTTCGTGTCGAGTAGTGTCGGGAAGGAGGGTGGGAGAGTGACACGACGCGAAACATCAGAACATCGCGAAATTGGTTGGGTCTAAAGTTTGGCCCTCGGTAGGTT